TACGATATCAAAAACATACTCAACTGTTCACAAGTTGCAAGATAAGTTTTTTCAAGTTTATTTTTTTTTCTGGATTTTTTATTCCTCGGGGTTTTCACATGGGTGTAAAACCCTCGGGTGAAAATCCCTCGGGAATAGATTCTTGAATGTTTAACCCTCGGCTTGAAGCAAAAGCCTTGGACAAGAGGGTCAAGATTTAACTGTCATGCCCACACGACAGGGGAAACTTTTATTAGCCAGTTGTCATTCAGATCTATTTTGTACTGTGATCGAAATAAATTCCCGAACATTACATGATAATGGAAAGCACAATAGTCTGCTAAGGGATATTAATGATTCAGTTTGGCTTCATCCTTACGAACTAGTATCCTTATATTTAAGTATACAGTCAATCCAGACTCGCATACGTCAGTATCATCGTCTTCAAATTGTCTAGCGAAAAAAATCGTTATTTTATAACAAATCTCGTTTTCATTGGAAACCTGCCTATTACCTACAGTTGGTGGCTTCAGAGAGAAGAACTATATAGATTGAGATCTGTAATCGGGATTTAAGTATTGGTTTCCAGTGGAAACATTTGTTTAAACTAACGACATTGTCACAGGCCTAGACAAAACGTCTGATAATGTATGAAATAGGATGTTGATATACAAGATTTTGTTTTGTTACATACATGTAACTACTGTTTATGCAATAGACAACAATTTGTTGCTCATGCAGACAAAAAAGTGTCTTAAAGCAGACAACAAAAATTACATCCCTTGACCTGATAATAAGCCGTATTGAGAGCAAATATTTAAGCATTGCTCTGTGTTGATATGACATGCTGTGGCATTCATATGAGCTATAAATGCCGTATCAATAACGTTCAATGCTTTCAGTTACCATTGTTGAGTCATAAAATTAAAATCCGCTAATTAAACTTCCGTATTTAGATGAAATTAGTGTATTAGTAGTGTATGTTTGTTAACTAATTGAACCCTAATTATGATGACGTAAACACGTGGGTCCTGGCATTTACAGTCTATATGAATGTCATCAGAATCTGATAAGGTTAAATAAGGACAACGCGAAAATCTAAATGAAAAATTGTTTGACTTGCAATACATTTAATTTCCCATATTCAATATGACACAAAAGTTGGTCAGAATTTATTATTGTCATATATCTTAACCCCCAGAGAGAGTGAAAATACATTTTATTTTTCTGTTATAATAAAGAGATTATCATTTGTCTATTTTAGTTTAGTGAGGTTGTTCTATTGGAACATATATCAATTCGAAAAGTTCATTTATAAATCCAAGTTACATAATTTTCGTAGATCATCGTATGACTCATTCCAGTATATCAAGGTTAACAACAGAGAATGATGTGTCTAAAACCTCGAGATGTTTAAAATAGCTGCAGGTACCTGATGGGTCATTTTTCATAACTTCTTAATAATGATCGATATGATCTACACAGTGGCGAATCAAGATACCTATCTTGGGTGTTTCCAAATTTCCAAGGGGAGGGGGGTTCCATGTGGGGAAAATTTGAGGAAAATGGTGAAACACATGACTTTAAAAGAAAATGTTCAGGGGGAGGGGGGGGGGGTTCTTAAAACACCCCAAAGAGCTCTGGATCCGCCACTGCTACAGGGAGGCCTTCGTCTATAAGTAAATATTTACAAGAGTTTACTGCTTTTACTCTCATAGTGTTCTACTGAAATACATAAACAACATCCATAAACTCTAGGTGTTTCATTTGTTTTCTTAACATAAGTATAATAAAAAACGTGTAACAATAAAAAGCTCTCTCTGTCAAAGCTGATGTATCCTATATGTCGACGGGCTACAGATAATCATTGGCCACAGGCCTATACTACACAACGTTTAATATTCGTGGGCTACAAATAAAATCTATACTACACAACATTTAATACTCGTGGGCTACAGATAAAGTCTATGCTACACAATATTTAATATTCGTGGGCTACAAATAAAGTCTATACTTCACAACATTTAATATTCGTGGGCTACAAATAAAGTCTATACTACACAACATTTAATATCAGAGGGCTACAAATAAAATCTATACCACACAACATTTAATATTCGTGGGCTACAAATAAAGTTTGTACTACACAACATTTAATATTCGTGGGCTACAGATAAAGTCTATGCTACACAACATTTAATATTCGTGGGCTACAAACAAGGTCTATACTACACAACATTTAATATTCGTGGGCTGCAAATAAAGTCTATACTACACAACATTTAATATTCGTGGGCTACAGATAAAGTCTATACTACACAACATTTAATATTCGTGGGCTACAAATAAAGTCTATACTACACAACATTAAATATCAGTGGGCTACAAATAAAATCTCTACTACACAACTTTTAATATTCGTGGGATACAAATAGAGTCTATATTACACACATTTAATATTCGTGGGCTACAGATAAAGTCTATGCTACACAACATTTAATATTCGTGGGCTACAGATAAAGTCTATACTACACAACATTTAATATTCGTGGGCTACAGATAAAGTCAATACTATACAACATTTAATATCAGTGGGCTGCAAATAAAGTCTATACTACACAACATTTTTTATTCATGGGCTACAGATAAAGTTTATACTACACAACATTTAATATTCGTGGGCTGCAAATAAAGTCTATACTACACAACATTTAATATTCGTGGGCTACAAATAAAATCTATACTACACAACATTTAATATTCGTGGGCTACTGGCCTATACTACACAACATTTAATATTCGTGGGCTACAGATAAAGTCTATGCTACACAATATTTAATATTCGTGGGCTACAAATAAAGTCTATACTTCACAACATTTAATATTCGTGGGCTACAAATAAAGTCTATCCTACACAACATTTAATATCAGAGGGCTACAAATAAAATCTATACCACACAACATTTAATATTCGTGGGCTACAAATAAAGTTTGTACTACACAACATTTAATATCCGTGGGCTACAAATAAAGTCTATACTGCACAACATTAAATATCAGTGGGCTACAAATAAAATCTCTACTACACAACTTTTAATATTCGTGGGATACAAATAGAGTCTATATTACACAACATTTAATATTCGTGGGCTACAGATAAAATCTATACTACACAACATTAAATATCAGTGGGCTACAAATAAAGTCTATACTACACAACATTTAATATTCGTGGGCTACAAATAAAATCTATACTACACAACATTTAATATTCGTGGGCTACAAATAAAGTCTATACTACACAACAATTAATATACGTGGGCTACAAATAAAATCTATACTACACAACATTTAATATTCGTGGGCTACAAATAAAGTATACTACACAACATTTAATATTCATGGGCTACAAATAAAGTCTATACTACACAACTTTTTATATTCGTGGGCTACAAATAAAGTCTATACTACACAACATTTAATACCCGTGGGCTACAAATAAAGTCTATACTACACAACATTTAATATCCGTGGGCTACAAATAAAGTCTATACTACACAACTTTTTATATTCGTGGGCTACAAATAAAGTCTATACTACACATCTTTTTATATTCGTGGGCTACTAATAAAGTCTATACTACGCAACATTTAATATTCGTGGGCTACAAATAAAGTCTGTACTACACAACATTTAATATTCGTGGGCTACAAATAAAGTCTATTCTACACAACATTTAATATTCGTGGGCTACAAACAAGGTCTATACTACACAACATTTAATATTCGTTGGCTACAAAGAAAGTCTATACTACACAACATTTAATATTCGTGGGCTACAAAGAAAGTCTATACTACACAACTCATGAGCTTCAGAACGAATTGTTAACACTTTACTACATACACATACTACGTAATATTTGTGGATTTATGCTGAACTCCCTAATGCATCACATGCAATATTCTAAGTCTAAACAACATAACATTTTACACTCGTGGGATACAGATAAGTACTGTAGAAGATAACATGTATCCTCGTCGGGTACAGAAACAAATGTTAACACTATACTACATAAACATTTAATGTTAGTTAAGTAATATTAGATGAACACTACGAACATCGCTGATCATTTACTTTTGACAATTGAAATTGTTCATTAAGTAGCTGTATGAATATTCACTGATCTGATTCAACCACAAACATTTTGAACATCAATTAAGTCAAATGAACCTTAATTTAACATTAACAGCACTGCCCTTGCAAAACGTACCTTATATCTGCCTAGAACACTCATCCATCGGGAATGTAGCGTACGGTTAAGTCATCACTAGAAATAGGCATATGGAGTATGGAAGTACCTATTAGAAAATTAGCAAGTTTGTGAAGTGCTAAAGAACATATGTACTACACGATATGGCCATTTCATCCATTCCTTAAAGGATCATCAGTTTTAGTAAAGGTCAAAAGAATTAAAATACATCTCTGAAGTATTCCTAAATATGTTAAGAGATATCAAAACAGGAATAGTGCTTATACAATCCTTATGACGTAACAACTCTAAACGATATTTACGTTTTTATTCAAATGTAAGTTTTTGATAAAGCGCACGGAATTATATTTAGTAAAGCTTGAAAACCGAAATCTAATGGATCTACTAATTTGTATCCTGTATATTTATCAACATCAAAAGGTGACTTCAAAACTGGATGTTCTGTAGGAAAGAAAGACACAAAAACTTACTCTACGGTATTTGAGGAAATCACTAGTGATCTTCAGGAAACAAACATAATTTCGTGAAATGAGTTGGCAACAGGACTACTGGCATATACTAAAGTATCATTGGTTCAACACACGTGACGTCATAGCCTCGACACGTGTTTCTACTTGGCAACATTTATATTATATATAACTCACTAATTTAAAATAGTCTTTCAGAGCTCTGTTAAATTCCTAATCTGATATTGGTGTTTTGTGTTGACGAGGCGGCCTTTTCGCTAATGTTTGTTAATGTGTATTTCAGGCAGCAGAAGCGACATCCGCTAGTAAACTGAGAGAAGAGACCATTCGTTTTGATTTATCGGAGATGCTGTTATACATAACCTTGGCTCTGATTGGTGTATTTCTATTGTGTGTTCCGCTCAAGGTCACTTCCGGTAAGATATACTTTCATTTAAAAATGGATAGAGATCATTATTTCAAATTTACCAAAACGATATTTATCTTTTGTGAAAAGAAATGCAAATAGCGTAATATTATATCAAAAGTTTCAAATGTATAGATTGCATCATAAATAAGGACGCAGTTACGTATACATAGAAAATGATTTTGAAAAGAATATCGATTCATTAAAAACAAACGTTAAGATATTCCATTTAGATAGTCCATCAGTTACCTTAGATAAGATAGCAATAAAGATCAATCTGTTGCGTTTACAATTTAAAAGCATTGGTGAATTGACCGTAGCCCCCAAATTGTTCAACTTACAATTAAACCTGTTCTCTTTGGGAAAGTTTTAACAAAGAAACGTGAAAACAGTGCTACCATGTAGACCTACTGTTATACGTAAATAAAGTAAATAACTTTTACAATGTGAATTCTGTAAATCATTTAATATTCGCGAAAGATAAATGTTTGCGTCAATTCGCAATGAGACTCATTTGCGAAAGGTATGCGAAAGTCAGCAAAAACGAGATCAACACATTAAACGGTTTAAGTAAAGTTATTTTTAACATTCATACCTGAGTGAATGAAAAACGATGGAATTCCTGCCAGATGTATTTCAGTTTATATCGGCATGAATGTTAAGGAAAATTTACAGTTCTCTGAATAGTCTTTTCTAGTATTTGCTGTATTGAAGTTTTAATATCATATGGACAAACGACATTCTTAGATCCAATCTAAGTCATGTAACTGTTTTTTTCTTACGATGCTATTTGAAGCAGCAGGAAAAGCGTCAAAATGACACTGTCTCAACTGCATTATGGTCATTTGTTAAGGAATTTGAAGCGATAATGTAAAAATATAGATAGAACTTTGCCAACGTTGTAAAAATGTTCACGTCTTAAGTTTGAAGAGTTGAAAAGAAAATATTACCATCCTGCTATATATTGGCTTCCAGCTCGCGACAATGTAACTACATGCATTGTGTATTAGGAAGCTCTCATTTATAGCGAATAACATCCGGTATATCTACACGACAGAAATGGGTCACCCTAGAAATAAACATTTATAATGTAATGTGAGACAGTTATGAACAGTGTATAAATATATATCAAACAAGAGTTATTACTTAAGAATGTATCAAAATACTTGAAAATGATATCATAATGGAGCGCGCGTGACTGCATCTAACAGACAAATTATTACTTAATACTCGTAAAACACTCTGTTTATCCATCCAAAAACATAAATAGAATCGNGGGGGTGTCGACGTGGCGCTATAGTAAAAGCTTATTTTAACACAGTATGGTAAGCTTAATAGCAAATAAAAATAAAGGGAAAAAAATCAATGCAGTTTTGTTTGTTTTTAAAAAACCAGAGTTCCTTCGACGTTACCCATATTTCACTTAAGACTAAAAGTTTAGAAAAAGAAACCAGGAATTTATTCTTTAAAACAACCTTTGAAATAAATGTTTATAAAAAGTTTTATTAAGCTGATGATGTATGAGAAACCATGTTCGAATCTGCGTGACATCAGTTAGTGTGACGGATGTAACATTACATGACGGTATCACAAGAGTACGTGTATCGAAACATCATTTTGGAGGGAAAATCAATCTAAACCACTACTTAAAGTATCAGATGTTGTACTGGGCGTGTAAACTGTGACAGGACGGCCAGCGATATGCCCATCAAAACGGACCTCATCGACAACCGAATCGAACAACAAGACATACGATACAAAGAAAGCAACTGACATTATCTTAAATGAAACACGAATCTGTTAGACAGTACATTAAAAGCAACCCAAAAACGGCCAGCCCCTTTCTGAAACCTCCGACTTAACAATCCTTGGGCTCATGTTTGTATCAGCGAGGCTTAATCATCGCAGTGGCCAACTTGACATACGTTTGTTTCGGGCAGTTAGTTTCGTATCTTTGTCCCTTGAGAGTGATGACGGTGTCGGTATAAAAAGAGATGGAATGGCCGGTCTAGTTTATGGTAATGCGATCAAAAAGGTCACTCGGTCCCCATGTAGTATAAAGAGGTCATGATCACCGATACAGCTTGAAATTTTGGTGGTACTTCATTTACTGGACGGTTTATTAGTCAGACAGAATGTTATTTCATTTTGATGTCGGTACAATCTATATTTCCCAAATCGATAAAGCATTTTTTTTTAACTTGCAGCTAATTGTAATGTATTGGTACTTATTTTATGTTATGGATTTTTTATGAAGTTATGAGTATGAACTCGACTTTAATGGAAATCGTTGAGTGTTCTTGCAATATATATCGCCCCAGTAGGCCACTTTCTGATCTAAAGGATTTCACACCGTTTAATTTAACCACGTTTACGCTGTACGCTAGAACAACTAGAATTAGAACAATGTGAATCGCCTGGAGTGTTATTTTTTATGTTTGTGAGGGAAAATGACATTCTCGGAATTGCTCAATTAACGTTTTTGAGATTGTAAGATATGGAAGGTTTTTTTCTAAAAAAAAAATGACTGTGCAACCAACTGTTACATAGGCAGTGTTAGACAATGCTACAAATATTCGCTGTGAAATTGTAAAGTGCACTGTGAGATTGTGAGGTTCGCTGTTTCTCTGTGAAATTGTGAGGTTCGCTGTGAATTTTTATGGTTCTTTGTGAGATTGTAAAGTTCCTTGTGAAATTTTATGGTTCTTTGTGAGATTGTTATGTTCGCTGTGAGATTGTAAGGTTCGCTGTGTGATTGTGAGGTTCGCTGTGAGATTGTGAGGTTCGCTGTGAAATTGCAAGGTTCGCAGTGAAATTATAAGGTTCGTTGTGAGATTGTAAGGTTCGCTATGAGATTGTGAGATTCGCTGTGAAATTGTAAGGTTCGTTTTGAAATTGTAAGGTTCGTTGTGAGATTGTAAGGCTCGTTGTGAGATTGTGATATTCGATGTGAAATTGTATGGTTCTCTGTGAAATTATAAGGTTCGTAGTGAAATTACAAGGTTCGTTGTGAGATTGTAAGGTTCGCTATGAGATTGTGAGGTTCGCTGTGAGATTGTGAGGTTCGTTTTGAAATTGTAAGGGTCGTTGTGAGATTGTAAGGTTCGTTGTGAGATTGTTAGGTTCGTTGTGAGATTGTAAGATTCGTTGTTAGATGGGAAGGTTAGTTGTGAGATTGTTAGGTTCGTTGTGAGAGTGTAAGGTTTGTTGTGAGATTGAAAAGTTCGTTGTGAGATTTTAATATTCGTTGTGAGATTGTAATGTTCGTTGTGAGATTGTAAGGTTCGCTTTGGGATTGTGAAATTCGTTGTGAGATTGTTAGGTTCGTTTTGAGATTGTAAGGTTTGTTGTGAGATTGTAAAGCTCGTTGTGAGATTGTAAGGTTTGCTATGAGATTGTAAGGTTCGTTGTGAGATTATAAAGTTCATTGTGAAATTGTAAGGTTTGTTGCGAGATTGTAAGGTTCGCTGTGGAATTTTATGATTCTTTGTGAGATTGTAAAGTTCGCTGTGAAATTTTATGATTCTTTGTGAGATTGTAAAGTTTACTGTGGGATTGTAAGGTTCGCTATGAGATTGTAAGGTTCACTGTGAGGTTGTGAGGTTCGCTGTGAAGTTGTAAGGTTCGTAGTGAAATTATAAGGGTCGTTGTGAGATTGTAAGGTTCGCTATGAGATTGTCAGGTTCACTGTGAGATTGTGAGGTTCGCTGTGAAATTGTAAGGTTCGCTTTGAGATTGTGAGATTCGTTGTGAGATTGTTAGGTTCGTTTTGAGATTGTAGGGTTCGTTGTGAGATTGTAAAGTTCTTTGTGAGATTGTAAGGTTTGCTGTGAGATTGTAAGGTTCGTTGTGAGATTATAGAGTTCGTTGTGAGATTGTAAGGTTTGTTGTGAGATTGTAAGGTTCGTTGTGATATTGTAAGATTCATTGTGAGATTGTAGGGTTCGTTCGTTGTGAGATTGTGAGGTTCGTTGTGAGATTGTAAGGTTCGCTATGAGATTGTGAGGTTCGTTGTGAGATTGTAAGGTTCGCTGTGAGATTGTAAGGTTCGTTGTGAGATTGAAAGATTTGCTATGAGATCGTAAGGTTCGCTGTGATATTGTAAGGTTCGCTGTGAGATTGTGAGGTTCGTTGTGAGATTGTAAGGTTCGCTATGAGATTGTAAGGTTCGCTGTGATATTGTAAGGTTCGCTGTGAGATTGTGAGGTTCGTTGTGAGATTGTAAGGTTCGCTGTGATATTGTAAGGTTCGCTGTGCGATTGTGAGGTTCGTTGTGATATTATAAGGTTAGCTATGAGATTGTAAGGTTCGCTGTGATATTGTAAGGTTCGTTGTGAGATTGTAAGGTTCGCTGTGACATTGTAAAGTTCGCTGTGAGATTGCTAGGTTCGCTGTGAGATTGTAAGGTTCGGTGTGAGATTGAAAGATTTGCTATGAGATCGTAAGGTTCGCTGTGATATTGTAAGGGTCGCGGTGAGATTGTAAGGTTCGCTGTGAGATTGTGAGGTTCGTTTTGAGATTGTAAGGTTCGCTATGAGATTGTCAGGTTCGCTGTGATATTGTAAGGTTCGCTGTGCGATTGTAAGGTTCGTTGTGAGATTGTAAGGTTCGCTATGAGATTGTCAGGTTCGCTGTGATATTGTAAGGTTCGCGGTGAGATTGTAAGGTTCGCTGTGAGGTTTCAATAATTCATTTTTTACTCGAGTAAATATGTTCGTTGGGAGATTGTGTGGTATTTAGTGTATCTGAACTATAAAACTTCATTACGAGATTGTAAGGCATGTAGTGATACTGGCCTAGAGATGTTGGCTGCGACATAAACAGTATGGTACAGTATGTAATGTTTAAAGACCGTTAATACATTGTTATATATCTAATTTTAATAACCTGGCAAAATTGGCTATAAGTTCTTTGAGATTACAAGTCATGTGGTGTAACTTGAAAAGTATATTCCTCCTGACATTTTAAAGTATATCGTGTCACTGACTGGAAATATTCGGTGTCGTCTAA